AGCACCCACATGGCAGCTAACAACTGTCTGTAACTCCAGTCCCGGGGGATCAGGCAGCCTCTTCTGACCTCCGTTACCATTGCACAACATGGGTGCACTTAACCTACAGGCAGGCAATGCACACATACACATAAAATAAAAATAATAAATAAAATTTTAAAAAAATATTTAAAAAGGAAACAACCTTTCTTATACTGTGAACAATCCTTTTCAACTTGAAAAACTCCCCCCACTTGGAGTGCGTGATGAGGGCCCCTCCCCCCACTTGGCATATTGTGTGTGTGTGTGATGAGGGCCCTTCCCCCAACTTGGCATGTGTGATGAGGACCCCTCTGCTGTGAGATGAGGGCCCCTCCCCCTGTGTGTGTGTGTGTGTGTGTGTGTGTGTGAGATGAGGGCCCCTCCCCCCATTTGGCATGTATGATGAGGGCCCCCTCCCCCCACTTGGCGTGTGTGATGAGGGCCCCCTCGCCCCAAAAAAGAGCAAGTGACAAACTGTCATGGGGTTGTGGGATTGCCCCCCACAGGACCCGACCCTCAATGCCAACCAGCAGGTTGGTCACAGGAGCAGAAACCTGGGAGGGACCGAAATTGAAACTCAGGGCCGGTCCTAGGGACTTCTTCCCTTCAGGTGTTTGACATGCAGGTTCGCTCCGGCATGGATCCATCAAGCCTCTGTCTCCACTACCCACGGCATCCAGCAAAGCCCAGCAGTGGTCCATGTGCCTGAGCTGCATGGACGCTGGGATCTCCCTCCAGCCTCCAACACTGCGACACTCCTCCTGTTAGGGTCCGTGACTCCGTGGGTCTCTTCTCGAGAACAAATGCACAAGTACGGAGATGCAAAAATCAAGCAGAGTTTTACTAAACCAGCTAGCTGGGGCCGACCGTCCTTCCAAGACACGCAGGTCTGGTCAGAGCGATCGACCCTGAGACAATTTTAGGTAAAGATTATATAGGCTTCCACAACCGTTACACAAAAGCCCGCGTTTATACAGCCAATAGTTTCAAAGCAAGCATTTCACAAACCAATAACTTTAAAACAAGAAAAAATGTTATAGCTCCCTTCAGGTGTTTCAATTGGGAAGAGATGCTTGGTATGTGCCTGGTACAACTCTTTCTTGTTATCTTGTGTAAGCAGACATGACATGACACAGAACAGGTCAGG